TTTGGATCAGAATTGGATCCATTGTGGAGGAATTTTGGATGTATCCGGACAACTTCTTGCTCACTGGGGCGCGCCGAAAATGTCGACCCCGACTTGCTTTTTTTTTTTTTTAAGCGGGAAATAGAATGAACCCGGAATTTTCTGGTATAGAAATAAGGGGACATGCTTCGAAGTGGCCAAGAATTGACTTCCGCCAAATCGTGACAGCAAATATATTTCGTAACCTTTTTTCGACCATCGTGTGATTGTGGGACGGAATTCTTCGCTAATTTTTTTCTAATTGATGCATGATTATAGCAGGATTAAACAAATAGTCATCTATAGTCTAATGTGCCAGTCTTGTTCGAATTCGTTGAAAGAAGAATTCGGCAAATATTTATGTGGGAGAAATAGACTTATTTATTTTTGTCTTTCGTCATTCAACGTGAACAATGCTACTTTTTACACTAAAAACATGCAGGAAGACAAGAGCGTTTCAAGTTACTTAAGTGCAATATACTATAGTATATCCAGAAGTTATTTTGGAATGGTGAAAATTTTGAAGAAAAAAGGTTATGAAAGCAGTGTTTGTGAAGCAGGTTGGGGTACTATCACTTACCTGCAACGACGAAACCTGAACCTGAGTAATGAAAGTATTATTGTACATGCATCCAAGAATGTTCATCTTCATTTCATCAGAGAGCCTTGTAACTTATGACAGGTCTCAGATTTTCTGGTGTAGAAGCCCTTTACAATATTTTTTTCTACCCATTTACCGCAAAAGTTCAATCTAAAATGTGTTAAAACCATTAATCTTGATACAACCAATTCTTAACAGTCCCTGGGAGTGATCAGATTTTACTGTATTCAAAAAACAGTCACAAGTTTCCATAGAGCATACTAAAAAAGTTCGCAGTACAGTACCTTCAAATCAGTTGCTCAATTGAAATTGCGTCCCATTCTATTTATCTTTTCACCGACGTACCAGTCACAGAAGTGCGCTTTAACGACATCACAGGTACGTACACGTACCAATCTCATAAAAATACAGTACTTCCATAAAAAGCCTGTGCAAGAGACATTCGAACAACCGTGNCCTCACGAAGAATAACCACTTTTCAAGGAAACCCATGCAACCTCAGAGAACAAAGTTTGCGATTGAACTTTTGGCCTGTTCAAGTGTGCATCAAACTTTTGGCATGTTAAAGTGTGCCATATTATTTTGAATATAAGGAAGAGTTCTGTTGAGTTGTTGCGTTTACAGAAAATTGTCTTGTGTGTTAAAATATTTGTTGGGACAATTTCGAAATACATTTAGAAAGAATTTTAAATAGGAAATTTACCAGGATTCCTGGCCTAGTCCCAGGCTGAATTCTGTTTTTCATTTCAAAAATTCCAACTTTACTTTATTCTTCAACCTTTTGATTGGCCAGCAAATTAACTTAAAATTTATGTTAGGCTAAGTTATTCCCTAACATCAATTCAACCTGAATAAGTCTTGGGTTCAAGAATTCACATTATTGGGAGAAGGATTCTTGGATCCTCATGGTTAGTTAGCTATTTTTTGTCTGCTGAGAAGCTTCTCCACGATGTGAAGCCCCTTCTTATCCTTATTCATATCTCGAAGAAGTTGAGTCCATCGAGGTTGTTTTCAAACCCCCCTTCCCCCGAAATTTCGCGAATTTCCCTCTAAATTGTGAACAATTTCAGCCATCCCTGCTCGAAAAGTTTTGGAAAATTCGATCTGCTCATACTTAGCCTGAAGTTATATAGGCTCGCAACAATGTCCTAGAAAATTCACGTTGTATGAAAAAACAGTCTTCAATATTCCAGTTGAACCTCGATGATTCGAACCTCCATAAGTCAAATACCTCCCCTTGTCGTTTTTTTCAAGTCCCTCTCTGAATTCCCTTAGAAACAATTCATTTAAAACATCTCAAATTCGAAAGCTTTCCTTTTTGAACCTCTGTAACTCAATTTTTTTCTGGAGGCCTTTTGGCTTTTTTTAGGCACAGGAAAGAGAAAAGCAATAAAAATGTCACTTGATGTGTTTGAAAGGAAGTGAAGGACTAAGCTGGTAAATAAACCCTTGCCTCCATGTTCAGCCTCCTGTCAACTCATCTAATAGGCAATTTAAGGCCCCAAATATCACCAATTACAATTTCCTGCAATTCTTCTTACTTTCCCCCAACACAAATGCTTGTTTCCCTGACTCGAATTTTTTTTGCTGGTCCTTCGGAGGTTCACTGAAAGAGGTACGACTGCTGTAATAGTCAATTTACCTAATTTTTGTTATTGAGAAGATCTTGTAACACGAACTGGACTTGCATTTTCGTTGAACCCAGGAAATGAGGTAGTGAACCAGATAACCATCATCACACAGGTTTGCTGTCGATCAATCACAAAGACTTCCGAATAATTTCAAGAACTTGAAAGAAACCCCATTTTTCCCAGGTTCGGGATTGCCTTTTCCCTTCAGTGAATTAAAAAAGAGAACCGCAAAGAATTAATGATGAACACCTGGTCTCCATTACTTTCTTTCATCCTCTACAACCGAAGGAAACACAACTTTGAAATTCCGAAAAAGCACATTCTTGCGTTCGGTCGCACGAACGAAATTGACAATCGCAGCTGCCTTCAATATGATTCATGTTTTGCAATCACACCGCGATTAAGTATAGGGTAAATATATTATCTCCCCGTGTGGCCCGAAAATGCACGAAAACTATGGGAAGAGCCACGACGTGAGGGCGGAAATGAACGGCTGCTGTTGCTGCCAGTGGCGAAGGAAGCCGGGGATTTGCGCTTGAATAGCCCGGTCCAAATGCAGCCCGACATTCGCACGCATTATTTATCTTCCTTTATGGTTCAGGAATGGCGAGACTACAAGTTTGTCTGGAACCCTGACGAATACGGCGGCGTGACGGAGTTGTACGTGCCATCCGAGCACATCTGGCTTCCCGACATCGTCGTCTACAACAAGTGAGTTTTCAGTAACTGTGTCTTGTAAAACGCGAAAAAGAGCCTGTGTTTCCCCTGACGAGGAGAAGGTTATATTCTGGAATTGTGGTCTGATTCGCGTATTTCTCAACCCAAGGTATCTTAGAAGAACACTGTTCCCCAACCCGGCGCCGGTCGAAGCTTTTTGCTGGTTCGCAGGAAAATTTCTTCACCATAATAAATTGATCAAAGGTAGCATTTGAGTCTGTTATCCCAATTCAAAAATTTGGAAAGACAATGGCAGTTGACATCATCTCATGAAAAATAAAAGTTGACTTTTCTCCTGATAATATTTCAGACATTTTCACTCGCTGAAATATATTATTTCAAGCTTCTAATCTGAGAAACCTTTCTTGAAGCCCATCAAATAAAAAGACATCCCACTACATATAACTATACTTGACTTGATTTTTGCAATGAAAGTTTCGTTCTGAGGACTATATGGCAGGTATTTGAAAATTTTTTGCTTGGTCGTCGAAAATTGTATGGAGCATTGCCGGTCCAAAGAAATTTTATTAATATGTCAGTCCACGAAAGATTTCGACGGTCCGTGTGCTCAAAAAGGTTGGGGAAGACTGTCGTAGAAGGTACGCGAAATATTCACAACAAAAAACGTAGGCTTTTCTACCATGAGTGTTTAAATTTACCACTCATAAGCTTTAAAAAAAACGTGGATGGGACACAGTGACAGTGTCACAAAGCAGTTCAACCAGGGCAAGAATTTAAACTTTTGGGCAATGATGGAGTTATGCGAGGTAATCCGAAACCCGATTAAGTGGAGATCTAAGGAAAGCGTTCGTATTACCTTCAATATTTTGACAGTAAAAACGAATAAATGTCTGATTTGTGTAGTAGCGTAGTTAATTCAAAGGGGTCGGTAAAAATCACGGCCATGTCTTGAAAATTTTAAAAATTGGAGAAAGGTTGAAAAGTCCTGTTTCCCGCCAACGACGGGCATTTTCCCCCGCGAGTCGCAGTTTTTTCAGCTCAAAATCCCGATACTGGATATACTTGTATGATAAATGAGTCCAACATTATGTCTAAACGTCAATGTCAGCGCAATAAATTCTCTTTGTCCTTATTCTGCTGTCGTGGTGCAAATATCCGAGAAATACTCAACCAATAAAATAAAGCATGGGTGGAAATCTTGTATCATCATCTCTCGAAAAGTAATGAACCAAGCACCTTCACAGTGATGCTGAAAATGTTTATTATTGTCTTTTGTCTTGCATCATGCCTTTGTTCACCATTGGGGAAGAGATAGGGACTCAGTTTTCAGGGAAGGTGCAAAAAAAAAAGTTGAATGACCTTTGCCGTCGGGAAATGACGCATCGAGGCTTCCGATGGTAGAAGACACCGATATGACATCCCAGAAGACAATGTTGAATGTTCTTGATGACATCGACCAGCAGAAGAATGCGGGAAAAACTCGAATTCTCATTTTTTTTCTTGGAAAATGTCATTTAAAAATGCGAGTTTTGGCATTCAAGTTTTTCTATATCTTTTCGGCACAAATAACTCCCTGAAAAAATCTCCCTCCTTTCAAGTTAAAAAGTTGACTTTTAGCCTTACAAGACTTTAATTTTTATAATTTGGCAAAACAACCATCAAAAGCCAACATATATTAAATTCGTTTGCATTTTTTTCCAGCTCGAACAATGAAACTTTTAGGCATGAGGATTTCCATCTAAAACTTCAATTTTTTTCTAGGTATCAGATTCGATAGCATGCGTGAGTTCTGCTTATTTTTATGCTGGAAAATGTTCACGTAATACACTGAATATTTGAAAGTTCATTTGAGGCCTTGGGAAAGGTAAGTAAATTTCCAGTTAGAAACGTGCTGAAGCTTATTTTCTGTTATTTTAAAAAGAACAAGTAGGTTGTAAATAACATTGGTGCCTTGAACTATGAACGCAATTTTTCCCGATTTGATCGTCTTGTTTTGATTTAATAATTTTTACCTAATTTCCCGTTACGGTGCAATTTATTTTTTTCTTGGACAAAAATGAAGAAGCAGCAGTGATGAAAGGAACAAAAATTGCATCAAGAACAGGGCAAAACATTTTCTACATGGCTTTCTTTCCGGCTCATGAAAAAAGCCCAGGATTATATCAACGAATATTATCTCGAAACCCACTGCATTCAGTAACCTTGCGGGAAAAGTTTTCACCTCGAACCCGTTGAACTGAAATAATTTAAAAAGTTTTATGGGTCGAGTCGCGGGTCCGTTTACTGCTTCGACCCCGCCAGTTGGGTTCCTTTTCCTTGGGGACCTATGTATTATTGCGGATCCCGCTGCTGCTGGGTAACGCCACGAAAGGTCATCCCAGGTGGAATCCCAAGTTGAATTTCTTCTTTCTGCATAATACAGTGCTGATGGCGAGTACATCATCACGACCATGACCAAGGCCATCCTGTACTACGACTCTGACTCCATTAATCTGCCTCTGGAAGCCTGACGTGATTAATCCTAACGCACATGTGCAGAATTTCTCATAACTCATTTACTTCAATTTGCATCAGGCCCGGGTGATTGTAGTCGTTCGAGCGCTCTCATCCCGCTTACAGTATTTGGGTTCTGACTCGGATATGAACGAGTCTGGGCACGATTCATAACCCCCGGGAGTCGAGCGTCACTCGTTTCCTGCCAATTTGGAGGTTTTTTTTCTTTCTTTCAAACTTTGTACAGTTGGACCTTGTTCTAAATGATTCGAGCGTCTCTACGTCAAAGATGTGTCGTGTCCGTGTTTGAGTACCAATAACCGCTCTTCAGCAAAGTCAGGACATTTTTGAAACATTCCATGCCCATGAGCACTGAGAATAAAATACCTTATCTTTGATTCAAGGCATAAGTTAGAGAAAGAGTCTGATATTTTTTTCCTGCTTGGGCAGACAATTTTGATTGAAAAGTACAAATCCTCACATTCATAACATGTGATAAATATTGGAGTTTTTTGAAAAAAATTTTATTTACTCTTCCCAGATTTTTCCTGGCATGGGCCTTTTCAACCCAGGGGCATTTCATTGACCTTTTTTTGTGTGCAGGAAAAATCCCAACTTTGCGGCACGATGGAAATGAACCTGCCACTGCTCAAGTGTTAAGAGCAGTACAATAGAGCCCTTCTTAACTGGGAGGCTTTCCCCTTCAAACTTGTGTAACTCAAATTTTAAAAGGATCTTGGACTATCATTTTGGGGACTTGGGGAAGGAAACATGCAATACAAGGGTAACTTCGTATTTTTTTCAAAGAAAGTGAGTGACTAATTTTTACTCTTTCTCTGCCAGGAATGGTGTAAATTTCCAAACTTTCAATCAATCATAAGTGCATTCTACATTCCATTGAAACTTGGTTTTTTTGGCACCCACTTTGACCAGTAGAGTCTGACCTATGTGCGTTTGATGTGGACCACCAAACATCTGTGTCAGGGAGGTTTTGAGTTAGCAAAGCAAGCATTTTTGCTGAGGAATAGGAAAAATTACAGAAAATTATACCGTTTTTACTTGAGTACCATGCACCCTTGAGTAAGGCCTGCACAGGGGTTTTTCAGTTGGAAATTTGGCTCAAATCTTATATCCAAGTAAGATGCACACCCCACTTTTTAGTGAATCTAAAACCACAAAATTTTGAAAATATATTCCAAAAATTTGACTTTTAGACATGAATTGAGCAAAAATTGGATCAATTTTCAAATTTTTCAGTACAATAAAAGTTTTCTTGTTACATTTGTTTCAAATTTCTCCTTTATAATTAAGTATAATGCACACATAACTTCCTAAAACTTATTGAAACATTTTTACCCGCTTATGACATGCACCCCTTTCTTTCTTCTGAAATTTGAGAAAAAAGGTGCATGTGGTACATGAGTAAATACAGTAATGGGTGATATTCTTGGCATTAGATTTCTCTTTAAATGCATGGACAGGACACTAAACTTGAAGCCAAGGGTTTATTTGCCAAATTAGTCTTTCACATCCTTTCAAAACACGTTGTTCCATTTTTATTGATGTTCTAATGTCAAAAGGTCTCCAGAAAGTTAGAGTTATGAAGGTTTGAGAGAGAAAAGCCTTTGAGCAACGGAAGTTTTCAATGCCTTGTTTCTAAATGATTTCAGACAGGGACTTAAAAAAAAAACATTTGACAAGGCGAGCTATTTGACTTTGGGAGGCTTGAGTTATTATTGAGGTTCAACTTGCACCTTGTGAGCTTGCATCACAAATCCGAGAAATCATTGCCAAATGGTTCATCCCCATCTTGCACAACACACCCTTAAGGTCTTTACGACCGTGTGTACGCATGTACGCTCGTGTACAAGGCGTGGGAACTTTTTGATTTCTTAACTTTCAGTAGTGACTACAAAGCGAACCGTCCACCTGGACTTTGTGTACTTGCAAGACGAGTCGGGCAATCCCCTGGTAGACATTGGTATCGACCTCCGGGAGTACTACCCTAGCGTGGAGTGGGACATCCTGTCAGTGCCAGCCCGGCGGAACGTGAAGAAGTACCCGTGCTGCGCAGAGCCGTACCCTGGTGAGTGTCCGCCCCACTCTTGTGTTTCTTGGCACAGGCCTCATCCGCAGAACCCGTGCGCAATCGAAGGATTTCCTTAGTAATGAGGAATAGTTCGTTCCGCATGGGGAAATTAACCGAGAGAGCCTCGCGAGACTCATTCTTGAGCGAGGTTGACAAAACCCGCATGGCGTGTCAGTCCCGCACAGATGTCGCTAACCCCCAAATGCATGGGTTCCTCTCACCTCGACGACATCCGACCATAACCCCAAGTCCATTACATTCAGGTATCAACATGCACATGTCCCTCATATCTGCATACCCGAGGGGTCTAGTATTATGCTCTTTGAATATGAATTTAAACGACGTGAAATTGAGCGAAAATAATAAATAAAAATTAAACAACAACAAAAAAACATTTTTTGACGCAAGAAAAAAAAATCAGCCCTCTTCGACATCATTTTCAGAAGGTTTAAAAAAAGTCACACCGGTAGCTTTCTGCTCTTCACTGAAAACATGAGGCGCCCATCTCGCACATTTTTTTGGCGAAGCCCAATTTTTCCTTCAGAATCCTTGTAATTGACATGCATGAACTCCAAGGGCTGACGCTATTAAGGGATTATTAATTCCGCCATTTTCCTTGAGGGCTGATGTTAGGGAAAAATTAGTGGAATTCCTCAGAAAGATCTGGAGGTAACCCGTCTTTGGAAATTTAATGCCATGTCAATTTTAAGAATTCTGAAGGAGAAGCAGGGCTACACAAAAAAATCTATGAGATAGGTGCACCATCCTTTCGGGTAAAGAGCAAAGCAAAACGCTGCCTGGGTGACTTTTGCAACAATTTTTCTAGAAAATATGCCATACATGCAGGGTTGAACATGTCCTTCAAATTTCGGGATACCAATATAATTTGATTTTTTTTTCTGCATTCCAACCTGGACAATTTCGACTGTTGGACTTGGTTTATCAGGCGGAAAACGCAAGATTTTCGCAATTTCCCTGAAACTAAGCATGTTCAAAAAAAGCAATAAAAATATATTACTTGTTGAAATATTACTATCGCAGAACCATTTTTAAAAAATGGGACCTTCAATATTTGTGGGTGTAGGGTATTCATAGGGAATTATCTGGTTAATAGTTTTTTGTTTTAAATTTTCCGATGGTGAACCCATGCATAGCGTGAAGGATTTCACTAACGATGTCACTTTCAAAGAAAGTTCGTCATTTGCTTTGAAGAAATATAGAGAGAAAGCAGACACGAATAACACCAGGGTATTTTTAGGAGATAAGGGCTGAGAAATCCTCGACTGAACCTAATCCTCGTCAAATCATATGTAAAAGGATTTTTTCCGAATCATGTGAAAAACAGTTATTTTGTTTAGGGAGGACCAGGTACTATATTAAAATACTGCAGATAATCCTGTTAATCGTCCTGAGTCTCAATGGAAGAACATTCGGTTACTTGTGTTGGTTAATGCAGTAAGCTACAAATAATATCTTACTTTAGGGATTTCCTTTGTCGAATTACTCATCCTGATTCGATCGGATTTCTATACCTTTTTCTTTGCAGATATTTACTTCAACATCACTTTGCGAAGAAAGACGCTTTTCTACACTGTCAACCTGATTATCCCGAGTGTGGGATTGAGTTATTTGAGTATCCTAGTATTTTACTTACCGGCGGATTCCGGTGAGAAAGTCGTGCTGGTGATTTCCGTGCTCCTGTCACAAACGATGTTCTTCCTGCTCATAAGGTACGAAGTTTCCTTTCATCTTATCCCACGTCTGAAAGCATGGTATATGAAGCTAAAGTAATTTTTAGAAATTGTTTGATCACATTGGAACGCGAGACTGGATCCAGTTTCAGTCAATATAAATCAAGTTACAGCAAAATTTCGAAAGAACCTATTTAAAAATGAGATCCTGACACATTTTCACGATTGTGGCTTTTTCTTTCTCGTGATGCGATTCCGAATAAATTTCAGGCCGAAGGTTCTCAATAATCGGTGCTCCAAAGCATGTTAAATATAATATTGAAATTAAATCAGTTTAAATCAAATAAGAAGTAATTGCAATGAGAATAGGCAAGAATTCGCGCGTCAATAATTGCCATCTTCAAAAATGTGTGAATTTCTTTGCCCATATAAAAATGCTCAATTTTAAAGACGTATGAGGTTGTCCTAAGGGGCTCCGCAATTGACAACAGTACTTTATTTCGCATTTCGTTTTCTGTCAATCGCATTTATTTCGAAAAAAAGAGTTTAGGGGGTCAACGATGTATGAGAAAACTCTACTACAGTATATGCTCTACCTATGTCTATACAGTATATCTGGTGTACGCTATCTATCGTTCACTTCGTCATGCTTTCATTGACTTTCGTTCGACAGTGAAATCATCCCGCCGACGTCGTTGTCAGTTCCGTTACTGGGACGATACTTGCTTTTTACTATGTTCATGGTGGGGGCGTCTGTGCTGCTCACGATTCTGGTGCTCAATATTCACTACCGCAAGCCGTCGACGCACCGAATGGCTCCGTGGGTTCGCCAGTTTTTCATCCACATGTTCCCCAAGGTGAGGTATTTTCCAGGCTTTCGAAAACGATTCCACAACGATCAGAAGTTACTCAAACGGAAACGTGCGAACATTTAAAATCATGAATCTTATATTTTTTGGTCTCTTCGATTTTTTTTTTTATCTACTCGCCCAAAGAATCTTTCTCGCGCTGATGCGATTCCCGTAGTCCGTGCGAAAGCGCACGCCCAACAACGAATCATTGGAGCGACATCTTGACGAGTGCAACCACGAAGAAAAAGTAGTTGATGCTGGTGCAGGAAAGGGACGAAAACCAAGCATGCATCAGCGAGAGTTCTCCACAGTCAAGATTATTTATATTGAATCTAGATGGAAAGCACGTGCTTTCAAAATCGTGGATACCGTGTTGTATTTTCAATTTTTGTACCTGATCATTTCTCCGATTCTTTAATTCTGGCCATTAAAAAGATATACCAGCTTGAGCTAGGATTCTAACCTCCCCTGTAAAAAAAAAAAAAATCTGTCACATTTCAGATTGGAAATTTCTACCTGGAAAATCTTATACGCATTCCTCAAAAAATGTTTGTTATCCCGGAATTGGAAAGTTTTTAAAATTAAATTGTTTCGAAAATGTCCTCTATGGGTGTGCGAAATTTAAGGTTGCACCCCGACTTTGTGCAAGTGTGTGAGAGGTGCTAATTGAGGAAGTAAAACACGTCGATTGGTTGGTACGCAACCGACCTGAGGGATTTAAAATCCCAAAGAATAAGCGCAACTTGCAATTTCTGGCACACAGATAAAACTTGAAACAATCTCAGCAAATTTATCGCTGTAGCCATTTTTTGGCAGTTACGCAAGCTCTCGTGCCCACGCAAGAAGCGGCATTATTTGTTGGAAAAGATTTTTTTTATTTTTTAGTTTCTCACAATGGGCTTTCTGCAAAGACTCGAGGAAAAGCTTGTTATGCTGAAAGATGCATTGTAATGAGAATTTCACTGTATTCCTCCCTGCTCGTAGGCCATGTGCATGAACACGCCGGACGAGCTGAAGGAAGGGTCGCCTCGGAAAAAGAAGAAAAAGAAGAGCAAGACGGGCATGGGTGCGGACAAGATGCACCAGCACAACCACGACAGCAGACTCAACAACGGGCGCCGGCGGGCGCAGCACCAGCACGCCGACGACCTCATGATGATGCACGACATTCCGCCGCCGCCGCCGCCACCGGGCTCGCGACCGCCCCTCCACGCCGCCACCATCGACGATCCGCTCGACGTCTTCACTTCCCTGGACTATCAGGACCTCCATCGGTATCCGCCGCAAATCGAGCGAGCCGTGACGAACGTTCGCTTTATCCAGCACCACCTCCAGACCGAGGACCGGCTCAATTCGGTATACACTTCCGATCCACTCATACAGTACTTCAAACTAACACGCACCATCTTACTTGCTAAGAAATTTCATCAGAATATTGTAGAAGCAAAACAACTATGCGGATTGGCCGTTCTGAGAAATGTTATACGGTATATTATTCCCACTCTCAATCTTCTTGATGACTCGCTTGTTTTGTTTTCTTTAAAGAAATTCTTTTTTGTGAACAACTAAAATTGTTTCATGCTCCCACTTTACACTAAATTTTCACATCCTTTTCGGAACGCAAAGAGATTTTCCAGCTATAAAATCGGGAAATAAGCATGAAGCCAATGCAAATTACAATGGAGCCCCTAGATGCGGACGTTATTTGTGCTTGAACCTTGTATGTATGTCAAATCACGTTTTCCCAAGGACTTCAATCGGATCATACAGTATTTAATTGGTTCTCCGGTTTATCAAATATTAGGAATAGAGTCCCCAAAAAAATGAAATATTTTTCAACTTCAAGGAACATAAAATACCTGTGCAGAAGGAAACCAAACCGAATCTGATCTTTATATAGGGATCAAAATAAGCTGAAGAAGAAAAAAGCGAGACCGATTCTAGCTATACAGTACTGAGCACAGATCATGAGAAAACTCAAAAAGCACAAAATTAGCCTGTTTCGATTATGAATTCAAGGAAATTTATCATGGATTTTATTTTTCATTTTTGTGAATACAAATAGACCAATTTGTTCAAGTGATATCAAAATTTAGAAAAAAATGTTTCCATTTTAATAAAAATTTTGGAAAATTCTTCTAATCCTTTCACCATTTCCCAACCGATACATACCTTCGGATAATCAATGATTCATTTCGTAAGCAATTGATGCTTGTCGGATTAACTTGCAGAATTGATCGGATGCGGAATTCGTATTTATTGGTAACGTTTTATGACAGGAGCTTAGGAAAACTTGTCAAGACTACTTCGGTACTCCGGGTATCGGGTTATTCACGTCCGTTTCTTTGTGTGTGACTTTCAGGAGGATGAAGACTGGGCCTTCGTTGCGATGGTTCTGGATCGATTCTTCCTCTACACCTTCCTCCTGGTGTCCGGGATCGGGACTTTTGGGATCCTTCTGGATGCCCCCTCCCTATACGATTACACGCCGCCGATCGACGTGGAAATTTCGCATGTGGCGCAAACACTGCGTTCCAACGAGCTTGACTTCTGATTCCTGGATCCCAGAAATCGCTATTTGCGATTTGGATTTTCGTTTAAAAAAGAAAAGGTGGGGGAAGCAAAAGAAAAGAGAAGATCACGCACCACCACCCGCATCATCATCATCATCATCATCATCATCAGCGACACCAAGGGAAAGATAGGCAATTGAAGAAAAAAAAGAAGAAAACCACGTCTGTGATCCAAACGAGCTCACGATTCCGCCTTGGATTTTTTTTTTCTTTTTTAAATCTGTTTCTCGCTCCAATGATCGCCATCCTTGTCTGCCAGCTGGGCCTTTTGTGCAGCCCTGGGAGTGGCACTTCGTTTTGTCCATCGATGGACGCAATGCTTAGAATGTGCACAAAAGAACTTATTGGCAGTGCTTCATTCGAAGAAACTTCAAGGACTCTGTATTAGAATATATAAGCTCTTGACCTAAATGCGTATCTTCACCCTGATTGACATCAAATTAAAACGCCAACGACAGCGGGGGCAGATTCAATCAGAATAAATTATCTCTTGATGAACACAAGGTTCCATCGCACAAAAAGTCGGAAATAGAGTTTCCCGCCAAATTAGAGCTGCTACAACCAAGATTTAAGATACTTTTTCCTGAATCTAATAACCAATGATACATTTATTCGTGGGTAAACCTTCGAAAGCAAGCAGAGTTTTTGAAGTTTCTGAAAACCTGCCACGGGAACGCTTCAGAGAAACAAATGTTTGAATAATTTTTTTTTCTATTTCACGAATAAAACTTGGAGTGGATCATAATTTTCGAGAATTAATTTCGCGGAAGAAAGCGATATGTCGCAGGAAAAATTCGAAACCATTTCCGGTTATGATTTCTAACCCCTCAAAGTGTGAAGTTGGGTACGTTTTGAACCGGCGCTCTGAGAACAGTGATCAAACGGGCACCCGAAAAAGAATCTGAACGTTATTTTGCTCCCTCGACGGATGGAAAATTTTATAATTCATAGCTCTCTGGTCCGAATCAGATGAGTGAAATCTCCCATTGGCGCGATAACCCCGTTTTTTTTTTGCACAATCGCCAATATCATCACGCCCTGATTGCCGTGGGAATGCGACGTCACAGCTCGCTCGAATGTGATCGTGTCCACCTGCAAAACGTGCCTCCAGATCTCCTGAATTACAAACAGAAGGAGGGAAATATAAAGAGAAAAAAAATAAGGTGAGCTGAAGGTGGAAAAGCAAAAAAAAAAAAGAGGTAAATGAAAAAGGAATGGGGAGATGTGTACCGAGTGCAGTTCGGATTCTCCCGCTTTTCCAAAATTTTTGTACTCGGCTTGTAGCTTCGACAGTATTTTTGCTGGGATTTGCGCATGTTCCAGCCTGTCGACTTGCTGCATTCCTTCGCCCTTTCCTGAGTCGACCCTTTTAGGATATTAATTGATGTGAAAGACGATCTCGGTAAACAGGCGTTTGTTTGTTTTGTTTAGTGAACGAAATTGCGTGACCCCGCAGGTTGGTTTAAGCCCATCCGTTTTCAAACAATAACGATAAAAGAAAGGTCACTTGTTGTCTAAGTCAAAGCCGTCATCTTACATATCGCTTCATCCTCAAAGGCCGACATATCCATTTTCTTTGCGTCTTTTTCGAAAGGAAGGAATCAAGCCTCCCAAATACTCATGCACACGGTTTTGAATAATTGAATCCCGCAACTCAAACGGAAACTTGTACTGACAGGTATTATGATCTATATTTCAGATACTTACTTCTGAAAAAATAATAATAATTCTCAAACCCAGCCTACACAACAAAAACCTCGAGAAATGACTCTTTAAAGAAGCTTTTCCAGTGTCCAAACAAAAACAACAGAAAAAGAGCGCATGAACTCACAATCAATCGAAAGAATAAGCGACCATGCATAATGATTCCTGTGATGAATTAATTACAGTATTTCCAAGAGTCACTGATTTTTTTGTGGTTAGCAAATTATCCTGGTTTACAGGGAATTAATTATCCGCTGCGAAACTTTTAAAATTAAACATTCATATTGCAAGGTCTTGTTTTCAAGGGTAAGGAAAACTGCCGCTAAAAAGGAAAACTTATCAGAATTTGAGGAACATTTTACACAATTTTCTTAATTTCCAGATTGAACAGAAATCAAAATCCCCTGTTATACACAAGCAGCTCATGCATCACTAAATTATTGGCAACGAATTTCTCCCAGAATTGAAATTCAACTGATTTATTTCACATGATCCTGCCCTTTTTTTTTCGTTCAAGTACCGTGTGTAAGTACTTGTCAGCCAGATCGTCTTTCACGGGGTCTACGCAGCGTTTTCTCCAAGAATGGGTCGATTGACGACTAATTTACTTGACCCAGCAGCGAGGCCGGCATGGAGGAAGACAGAAAAAAAAATGTCGGGTTTAGGGTTAATTGTAGCCCAACCCCTGTCGCTCTCCTTTTGTTGTTGTTTAAATACCGCGAGTGGGGATTTTTTTTTTTTAATAAAGCAGGGTTTCAATGCGCTCCATTGATAGTCTTCCCGGTGTAAGGTTGTACAAGACGACGTGGTTTGAACGATGGCTAATTCGTCGTCGTCGCATTTTTTGCTCGTTTTGCTCGCTTGTTCGTTCGTTCGTTGGGTATGCGTCTCGTGGTCCCTGAATCCGGTGACCAAACATTCACAAAAAAATTCCATGAATACTCAATGATGGATAATCAACTTTCTCTGAAAACAAAACTTGGATCATGCAGTCCCGAGAAAACGTTGAATACTACTCGTGTCGTACAAATTTGGGAATCGTGATCCACTGACGAAGAGAAAAGCAAGAATATTTTAAATTTAAGGAAAACACGAGCTTTTCAAACTTACGAAAAACCTGGGGGGGGGGGGGGGGTTTCCACGCGTTTTTTGTACGTCTTTTTCATTTAAACATTTTGGCTTTACACCAATGGCTAGACTCACTGAAATTAGAGAGGGGTAAAAGGAAGGCGAGAGGATGCATTATTTGGTCACCGGGTTGATGGACTGTGTGAGGAACCCATTCGTTTTGTCGTTCGTTCGCTCGTTGGCCGCTATGAGGACCGGGTCAAGCCTGTGGTGTTTGGGCTCCCGTAATCATGCTTGATTGTTCCAGTTGTCTTCATTGCATTTTGCTCATTGATAAATACAGAGAACGACAGAGAGATTTTTTCCTTCATACCAAAGCGACTTTTTAATGCAATGCCCTCTTTTTGGGCTGTGTCAATTCCTGTTTATTCGATGGTGTTTCTCGACATCCTCACGTATTATGAAAAAAACGTTCATACTCGAAGCAGCCTGCTTAAAAGAAAAAAGATAAATTATTTTAGGTTTGAATGCGGGTGTTGGTTGAGGGTGTCATCTATGCCAACCACAGGGCGTTCCAGCATTGTAACGCTTTCAATTTTGGTCGTGTTGTTTCCGGGCCACCCCTGATAATATGCAGTACAATGGTACTTGAGTACCAAGGGCCTTCAAGTAAGAAACGTCACACAACCTTATTGTCTTCAAAATATTTGTCCAAACATCATTACCACAAAAAACTCACGAAAATCTCAGACTTGATTTGCTGAAAATTAAAAATTGTGGCATCTTGAAGCTTGTCTTTCCGGGTTATTATTGTCTACGCAGCAGGAGCACTTGAACTGTTCCAGGAATTTCATGGAATTTTCCTCCATTATAAATAAATATTTCCCCTCATTTTCTTCCGCTTGAGTTTCCAACTGAAATATTTACTGAAGAAGCAATTTTGCTGCTCACAAGTAATATTTTTTAAATGGTCATTTCTTGAAACATTATTTCTCATGGAAAAGTAAATTTGGCAATACCTATATCCTTTTCATTCTATTCACTTGCAAGATCTCACATATGATAGATATACTATTTCCCATGGTTTACCATAAAAAAATACAGTGAGACCCAAACATGGAGACACCTTGACCTGCAGACAATTTGACATAGGGACACTTATTTTATCATTAAAAAAATTATAAAAAATGCCCAACATAAGGACACTGACTCAACATAGGGACATTTTGTTATAAAATTGCAAATACATTTCAGGCCATATTACAAGAAACAGATATTTCCAACCCTGAAATTGATGTCAGAAAAGTTCTTGGGCATTTCTCTCACTGATTAAACATCCATTTAGCAAATTAACCCTTGGACGGCAAAGGGTTCTTTCCCATTGCCGGCCAAAATTGGATTATTTTTGTATGCTACGGCATTTTAATAAGAAAAGCCCATTGCTTAGCATAGCATTTTTTTCATTTTCCCACAAAATTTTTCTGTGCAAAAAGAAAAAACCATCAGATTTTTCCCCAACTTTGTCCTCAAATCCCTGTTGTCCTTTTTTATTTTCTGCCCTGAGGTGCAATGAAATTTTGCAAAAATAGTCCAACTTTGCTGCCCAAGGGTTAAAAAAATCACCTCCAGCATAGATGAGGGGCTTCTTTCTCTCTTTTCCACTTGAATATTATTTTTACAGAGAATGCCAACATTTCTATGTATTGTACAGAGGTGTCAGTATTCAATTCCCCAAATGCCCGTATTGTGTTGAAATAAATTGATTGGAATCAGTTTTAATTGGGAGACAACTTTTATTTTAATGGAATTATTCTGAGTATTTTGTACATGATACACCAATTAAAAATTATATAATGTGAGTCTAAGGGAAAATTAGACTCAACTTAGGGACACTCTTGATGCACCAATTATGTCTGCTTCTTGGGGTCGCACTGTATACCCGGGTATATAGAACACATAGCCTAATTTTTGTCACATTTCCAACTCACGTAAATATGGTAAGTTCCAATAATGATATGAAAAATGAATCAAGGACAAAAATTCAGATTTTATCAGCACATTTTATTTAATGTCAACAATTCTTGGCTACTCAAAACTACATGCTCATCTTACTTTGGGATAATTTCTTGTTCAAAATTTCTTCCAAAAATTTATGGTGTACATTTTACCTATCATTCTGTACCGAATGCAAGTACTGTACTGTACTAAA